AATACCAAACACATTTCTTGCAAACGAATTGTTTAATGTTTAGAATTGATTGATCACAGATTAGTGACCAATATCGTACTTGTCTAGTCTCAGTACTGAGTAAGTTTTACTGAACGAGTCATAATGTGGCCGCTAGTTTGTGTGACTGGACATCGCATGAACTACGTTGAAATGCAGGCCAGTAATTACCGGGTAAATAGTGGTATATATATATATATATATATATAGGTATTTCTTTATCTATGCCACTGTATTTATTTTTCAGTATGTTATGAAGTTCAGATAGTAATTTTATTCGTAAACGTTTTGTTATTTACCTGTTGTCAATAAATAATAAACTTTAAACAATTTTAGTTGGGAATATGTACATTACAGGAAGAAATACATTTTTTGTAACAAAATTTTGAAAATAAACTCGTTAAAATGGTCAGTCTGTAACAACGTAGAACTTCGTACGTACGTACATCAGTTCGAGTTGCCATACCACATTAGCATAGAGATGCAGTTGTCGATTCAAATCCCGTAGCGTTAAAATGGATTTCTATTAATAAATACATGGATATATCCAAATTAACTATTCACAAATTAGTTATACCTAGTATTATCTTTCTATTCACCTCAAAGTGTTTAAAGCCGATAATAAATTTAATATCTATTAAGTTATTTATGTGTCATATACATCATAACTATTTCTTCATTTGAGAATAGATTCTTATTTTTCTTTTTTTATCCCATTTTTTTGTAGAATAGATATTGTCAATTCCTTTCGCAGCTTACTACAACAATTTTAATGGATATCTCTTTTTGTTGTTGTTGATTGTTTTACGAACTAGTTCTCGAAATAGATCAGATCGTTTGTAGATTATAACAGTAGCTGTAAATTTGATGATTGATAGTGTCTTGGAATTGTTTTTGTAAATAAATAAGTCACATGAATAAAACTGTATATACTAATTGTATTTCAAGTTTTGTATTTTACAAGGGTAAACAATCTATCCTATGAATTTTTCAAAAATTGAAATGTCAGATTTCTGACTTAATCAGTGTAGACATTTGATTTTCTGTTTATTTAAAGATTCGTAAATCATTCTCCACTTTGATTTAAATGATATTGCTAGTTTGTATATAATACATGGTTCATGATTTTTGAGTTTTACTTCCAGTTAGTCATAAACAACGTAAAACCTGACAATATTTACACCGGTCAAAGTTGCCATATCATATCCCATCAGCGACATAAATGTCACAGTACTAGGAGTATTAAGTGTCATTATTAGTAGTAAGGTTTACACATAGACGATATGATTAGGGAAGAAAGGCTGAATTCATGGAGTAAAAAAACATATGAGATAATTTTCAAACTCAGCATTTAAGAGAAAACAAAGAATGAGTGCCAGTCTATTCCACTGTGACCGATTGCGCTCAATGTTACCCATAAGTGAAAATATAATCAAAATAATATAATTTTGAAATGATAAGATTATACAGATATTTGTGATAGGGAGGCGTTCATATGACATAGCTCCCTCCCAGTATTCTATGTTTCAAGATTTGATAAAAATTGTCAATGAGTACATGCTTTATTCACATTACGATACTGGTTTTCGAACATTTTGGGTATCATTATACACAGCTCAGTCTCGTTCTCCTTATTTCAAGAGCCCACTTAAATGTGCTTCATGGGACTTATTAGCTCATATGTGTTAAAACTGAGAAGTAACTTCTCTATATTATTCATTCTTATAGTCTACTTATTTACTTTTCCTATATAGTGTTTCGTTTGTGTGTTATAATAACTCTTAACCTGATCACTATTCGTACAGTTATTCTGTTACGAAATGTGGTCCATTTCAGCCTAAATACATGCTCCCAACTCTTGAACGGCCTAACTCAATGGAGGAGAAACACGTGACTGTCCAAAACCAAATACTGAATGAATAATCCCGGTATTTACAGGTAAGTAAAGTGGCACTTAAATAAGTGGTGAGCATGCCTGAGAGATCAGTAGTCCCATTACGGTCTGAGATGATTACACTATTCGAAAACCTAACGAGTCATATTTTATGATGATTGAATTGCGAATTCGTGGTTTAAGTAAGCTCTGTTTTCCTCAATGCTTGATTTATTATCATTTGCATATGTTGTCAGGACGATGGCATCAATGTTACATTAAAAGACCTGTTTTAGAATTTATTCACAAGCCACCTTTTGGAAATTTTTTGTGAGTAATAGTCAACCTAACTACATAAGTACGGTTCTAAAGTTTCCGTGTATCGTTCTTTTGTTGACGAAGGAACATAATATTTTTAAGAAGCTTAAACTTGTCACACTGATGAAACTAGTAATGTAACTTTACCGCTAGATATTGCATCAGAATATGAGTTGTAACAATATGACAGTACATTTTTGTCTTAATTGTTCCTCAGTCGATTCATACGACGGACTACAATGCAAAGTCATGTATGGAGGAAAGCTGACAGATGTATTCCATGTAAAGACAAGCCCGATTATTCTTGCCCCTTTACTTCTTTCTGATATTCAATCGGATTATGAAGGTCTTCACACATCAGAGAAGCATGGAAGACAATAGACAGCTTTGATGCTGCTAGACGATTCGGACATTGCAGATGACCTAGCTTTCCTACCCCATACACACCAACAAATGCAGATGAAGGTAGCCAGTATAGCACCAGCCTCTGCCGAAATACTCTTCAACATATACAAGGGAATGAGAAAGATCCTCAAATACAAAATAGAGAACGCCAACACAATCACATTTGATCTAGAAACTCTGGAACGAGTTGAAACGTTTACATACCTGGTTAGCATCATCGATGAACATTGAGGATCTGATGCAGATGTGAAGGCACAGATTGATAAAGCGAGGACAGCATTCCTACAGTTGAAAAACATATGGAACTCAAAACAACTGTCGGCCAACATCGAAACCAGAATCTTCTATGCGATAATTATGAAAGTCTTACTATACGGAGCTTAAACATGGAGAATTACTACAATCATCATCAAAACAGTACAAATATTTATAGACAATTATCTACGGAAAATATTTAATATCCTTTGATCGGATACCATCAACAGCAGCCTACTATGGGAGAGAACAAACCAGCTTCCAGTTGAAGAGGAAAATAGGAAAAGACGCTGGTGGTTGATAGGACATATCTTGAGGAAGTAATCAAACGGCATCACGAGGTAAGCGCTAACTTGGAATCCTGTATGGAAACGGAAAAGAGGAAGGCCAAAGAATACACTGGGTCGGGAATTGGAAGTAGACATGGAAAGGATAAATTGCAACTGGAAAAGATTACCTAGGACAGGGTTGGATGGATAGAGCTGATGAGTGACCTATGCTCCTCGACGATGGGTAACAAGCGTAAGTAAGTAATCTATGGATGAAATAGTGCTTTTCCACAGCTTTCTACTTGGTCAGGCGATCTAGTGACTTGATCTGAGTTAAGTTTAATGTCGAGGTGTACACAAGGTAAGGCTAACCCTATGGTTTAATACTTTGGACTTACCTTAGGACATAAATATTATATGTAATGTATCTGTTCGAAAAGGAAGACAAAATTACAAACAGCATCTTGTACTCATAAAATACGGTGTAACTATATACATCAGTCACTTGAATTAAAACTGTCGGTCGACCGGGAAATACCACGTCATTTCTGATGTCGGCAATTCATTAGCATGATGTCATGTACAGAGTGATAGGAAAGTGTACGAATGTTTGATAGATGGGGCAGAATAAAATAGATCAGAGGAATATGACTGTGTAGAGATGATAGCAGTTAATGTACTAATGTTCTGTATATTAGTTATTTGCTGTCGATGTGGTGTGTGTCTCCCATTGTGAAGATAAATGTAGACCAAAGTTTGTAGTGGTACAATTGTAGAAAATTTTGCTGTTGATAAAAATGTTAGTGTTACTGTATCAATAATTATCGTTTCTTGTTATTTGTCTACATTGAATGTGACTCATTAACACAGTTTGTTAACTAATTCTTGTAGAAATCAGTATTGACATATCTTATAACATGTTTGTTTGAACTATTGAGAAACTTAAAACTAATAAATATCTTATTAGAACAACACATTATAAGCGAACAATTGTTTTCAATTAGATCGTCATCAGTCTTTACTCTAATATACATGAATATTTATACGGAGTCCGTTCCCGTCTCCTACATATAGCTGAAGCCATTGGAATTCGTACATATAACCCCAATTTATGTGTACAGAAGAAATACGTGACCCCCCTATCCCTTCCATGGCCGGTTATAGCTTAACTAACAATTATTTATTTATTTTTTAAATTTTATTATTATCATTATGTATTTTATTCTATCTGTGTTATCGTTAACCTTATTTCCACATCCATTATTTGTTTGTAATTTTCCGCCTCTTGCCGTTTGTATTCTTTACTATCTAATTATTTACACAATTCTTATTACGTAATGATTTTAATGTTTTGTGATGACTATCCAAAGTCTATTTACCCATGTTTGTTTGACCTTCTATTTCCAACGATTAACTATTGATAAGACTTTTGTTATTGTATTTTATTATTATTATTCTTACTATTATCAGTTCACCTGTCTTTCTACTACTATCAACTTGTACTTTTACCTATTATGTGTAGTGACTTATTCTATTTCATAGTGATTATTGACCCATATTGCCTTAATTGGTTTAAAATTTTCGTATAAATATTCATGTATATTAGAGTAAAGCCTGATGACGATCTAATTGAAAACAATATTGTTCGCTTATATGTGTTGTTCTAATTTTCACAATGGGAATCTTTAATATTCTAAAATATCATATTCTCAAGAATTCACTTATCTTCAATGATAACCTGATATCAAAAATGTGAAGAATAATTTGGAATATTACTGAATTCCTGAAGACTTTAAAAAAAACAAAATATTCCTTAGTAAATTGAGTAATAACCGAAAATAAAAATCCCCCCCAGTAATTTTCTATCTAAATTTATCTTTATTAATAGAATAATAATGGTAACAATAAATTACATAGAAATGATTTAGACAACATCAATTAGATTAGATTCAAATATGGAAACAATAAAAGTTATTTAGTTCTTTTTCAAAACAATTAAGATAAATTATTCTAAATAGATACAAATCTAATGTTTCTGTATCGAGTTTTTTAACTACAAAATATAAGAGCAAATTTTTATTTAACTTTCATAATGTATTTCTATTGTTCGATTGAACCGAAAATTAACTTCCCCAAAAACAAAAACAAAGTTTCATGTTAACAATATTCTATAGTGATTAAGTATAAGTAGTTATATAGTTATAGAAATGGACAATCCTAATCACTTCCCATGATCATGTTCTTAAGTTGTTAGTCATTTAGCTACTGAACAACATTTAAGTAGTTTAACATTGAAGAATCAATGGTTGGTTCCGACACCAAATGCATTGGTTAAAACAAGATTAAATTGAAGAATTGATAATAAAATACACTGAAAAGCCTCCTCAGTTCAACTTTCAGTGTATTTTATCATCAATTCTTCAATTTAATCTTGTTTTAACCAATGCATTTGGTGTCGGAACCAACCATTGATTCTTCAATGTTAAACTACTTAAATGTTGTTCAGTAGCTAAATGACTAACAACTTAAGAACATGATCATGGGAAGTGATTAGGGTTGTCCATTTCTGTAACTATATAGAGACTAATTATTGATATCATTGTCAGTGATAGTTTCTAATCAACCATTATTTCAAAATTCAATTCATCTTTATTGGCATTTTGAACATTGGAAATTGCACATTTAACCAAAATAGCGACGCTTTTTTTAGGTGCTTTAAATTCCACAGCAACTAATGGGCCAAGATAACCCGCTTGTCCAAGATATGGATAATAAGCACTACTGAATACCCCACTAAAGAACAGAGAAAAAAAGATAACGAAAAAATAATAGTAACAAAAACAATTTGGAGAAGTTATTTTTCGGTCAAAACATTTAATATACAAACTATAAACAGGCTAGTATCACGATAATATAGGAGTATAGAAGTGAGGTTAGAAAAATTTTTTCTAAAATTGATTATTCGATAATTTACTAGTGAATGCTACTCCTAGTTTGTTTGTAAACACCATGGTGATTGTAAACCTATTGATTGGTTAAAGTTATTAAATCATTTGTGGACTTTTCTGACGGCTTTTTTTCGCCTGTTGTATTTTTCATTATAACGAAAGTAAGAGGATTTTATTTTACTTTTTTATATTAAGTAAAGTAGAGTAGATGAATTGTAACCTGAAAGTAAATAGTATAATGAAATGAGTGGTTTGAACCTTTAAAGACGAATATATTGAGTGATTGTGACCCATTTAATTTACTCGACTGTTGTCAAAAGTAAGTTACATAAAAACTGAATTGCTTGTAATGAAAATTATGGATATTTGGGTTTTTTTCTAAAAAAAAAGAAAAGATATGTATTGACTTATGGTGGGTAAAACGATATATTTTACTTTGGAGGCTGATTTTTTTCCCTAAATTTCAATGACTAACTGGGATATTGAATAAAGTCGAAATAAACTGTTAGGTCAAGAATGGAACTGAAGATATTAACTTCTAGAAGAAATTCATAATCACATTACGATGTTCATAATAATAATACGTTACTATTTTGTATGCCCCGAAATGCCCTGGCACGGCCGAGAGTGCGGAGAGTCAGCTCTCCCTCTCGAAACGTTCTCACAGGGCCACGCGTATATAGCTTCTGCCAGGGCAGTCCTACTCACTGCCTTCTCTTGGCTGGGGTATTGTTTACGAAATTGAGAGGACGAAAAAGAATGTCCGGTGGGGACTTGAACCGTGTTAGTGGACATGGAGAGTCCACCTAGGGGAGTTGGAAAACCCTGATTCCAAACGAATGGTGCACATGGGCTCCAGTATCCTGAAGGAACAAATGGTGTATGAACCAATCGTTGGTCACTGGCTACCATGGAAATGCATCTCCTTATGATGCTCCATAGCCTTGTGGATCAGACCTTCAGGTCGAAGGCTCCGGATATGGCCCCCTAAGAAAGCCAACTCCTTCGGTTTGGGCACTCGGGTAGTATCACAGCCCCGACACATATCGAACGAGATCTGTCTGGCACCTATGTATTTGGTGCCTCCTTGTACCAATATCTGTGTCTTAAAATAAATAAATGCGGATATTATAAGAAGAAAGTATATTAGTTAACATTTCATTCAATATTTAATTAGTAACTGACGGAATCAAACAAAAAATCAGTGATAAGTAGGTTTATTCTTTAAAATTCAGTTAATCAATTATTCACACTAGATATTATATGACAACAATTGGGATATTGTCCAAGATATATTTTTAGTATAACTTGCTAAATTCCCATACACTGATGATAGAAATTGATAGTAGTTATCAGGACTCAGTAGCTAAGTGGATGACGCGGTGGTGTTTGGAGTGAACGGTACTGGGTTCGAGTCCCAGAGAGAACGTTACCTCTGAGATACAGGTACATCCAGCTGACGAGTCCCAGATAGGACGAAACGCTCGTCCTAGATTCCACTGCTAACCACTATCCATCTTTGCTTAGAAATTGATATAATTCAGTATGAATATTTCTTTAAATTATTGCTTAATGAGATACAATTTTCTATATTTAAAAATTTAATTAATGTTACTTCTATATGAACAATTTATTTTATACTGGATTGATCTCTAATAAGTATTTAATGCCATGTTCTACTAGTCCTTTTCTGTTAGTTTAATTCAATTGATTGAATTATGTTGTAGACACCAGTTTAAGGTGACTCAATATTACGCGTACAATGTTTTAGTATTAAGTAGTTGAAAGTAGTCGGGAATTAACTTTAAATTTGGGTTTCATATTGGAATGCGCAGGTACAGTTTATTGATAAGTATCAACTAGCATAAAATCTAAGTTCAAATGTTCCTACTGACTTAATACTTCCAACTAGTGAATATCTAAATTAATCTAAATTATGAATTGATTCTTTTATGGCTTTGCAATGAAGATATTTATGCTAGTTTGATTACAATGAATTGGCATTATATAAAAATGGATCTTTATTCTCAAATAATATCTTATGTTTTTCTTTAACATTTAATTGGATTGAAATTGATTGATATCAGTAGTATATAAATATTGTGAAAGTATATCAGTGCATAAATTTTTTATTAGACCATATGTTCAAATTGTTCCAAGTTGAGTTAAATAGGAACATAATACAACTATTTCATTATTGCTAGTGAGAGCCGTTACCAGTGGAGTTCAACCAGGTCTGTTGTGAGATAGGAACTCACTGAAGACAATGGTGTACGGTAGCGCAACTTCGTGGATTGGTTGAAGTTAGACATTAACACCGTTGGATGCCGGCCGCGCGCGCGAAGCCAGTAGGTCCTGGTTTCGAGCCCCGCGTGGTGCGGGATCGTGGATGCGCACTGCTGAGGAGTCCCATACTAGGACGAAACGGCCGTCCAGTGCTTCCAGGTTTTCAATGGTGGTCTAGCTTCAACTGACTCATGATTTCATCTATTTCATTATTTATTAATTCTTATTAATAACTAATGTTAATCTACAACAAACAAAATGCTAAAATTCGAATTAATTATTGGCAAAATAAATCAAGAAATGATTTAGATTCAATGTGCCAAAACTTAAGGAAAGTATGCATTTCTTATTTATATGATTTCATGAAATGAATAATATATATATACACACACACAACTACAAATATAGACAAATATATCCAGTCCTGCATTACATTCATCATTGAAATGAAAATCATATGAGAAATTTCAAAAAAAATAAAAACTGGTACTCTGAATACATACAGTATGTTAAAATGAACTAATGTCGGGTAGAAATACCATGGAAAACCAGAAGGCATAAGATAGTTGTCTCATTCTAGGAACAGCCTCTATATCAGTGCATAAATAAGATCTTATCAGGTATAAAATCGAGAAACTTCAAGTCTTATGGCGAGTACGCCTTCATTACTGAACCAGGATTCATTGATCCGTATTTTTGATTCCAGTCACTTTGAGATATACAACGCAAACATCATTTACTATCTTGTAAGCAATGATGCATAGTGGTTAGCAGTGGAATTCAGGATGAGCGTTTCGTCCTATCTGGGACTCGTCAGCTGGATGTACCTGCATCTCAGAGTTGATGTTCACTCTGGAACTCGAACCCAGTACCGTTCGCTTCAAACGCCATCGCGTTATCCACTCAGCTACTGAGTCCTGATAACCACTTGCTTGTGCAATGGGGTGAATTTAAATTCACTTGGTACTGCTTACAAAAAGGTTGTGAATTAAGGCAATATCGAGGCATACACAAAGTATGCACATATGCCAATAACAGACTGATCAATTGCGGTCTTAAACCTCAATAGGAAGATACAAGCCAAACAATACCAAGTGAATCATTTACTATCATATCTATTTCTGAGAGAAATGAACTACATCGATCACTGCATCTTACTTCGCAAAATCAGATATCAGCGAATGAGTTCATGATTGGGATAAAGATAGAAGCTTCATGAAAACAGTTTAATTTAAAGACAGTTCCTCATCACTGATTATTAATCAATTTTTAGAAAATATATAATATTTAACATTGTTTTTTTATATAGAAGAAATGAAAAAACTTCTTCAGGTACATCAACGTTTTAAATAGTCTGCTATGCAGTGCAATGCAAGCAAATTGTTTAGTTCGATACACCTTAATTTTCTACCTGTCTAATAAACTTGTAAAACAAATATGTAGGTTTATATCGTATAAATGTTACATACCACATTGTGTGTTTAGACTCCGTTTAATCAATCTAAAAAAATTTGAACTCGGAACAAGTCGTAGAGTCAAATACTACAATGGAAACTAGACTTCCATGGTCTCTAGTTTTCAAATATTCCTCGAATAATATAGAGCACTCGAAATTGATCCTAACCTTCTTAGTTTTAACAGACACTAGTGGATAAATGCTCTCAGATAAGCATCATCATCGGATCTTTGCACAACCTGATGTAAACACCTATCTTACTCTAGGTAACCGGTTCAAAATCTTTATCTTCCTCTACCACTGCACACGATAACATATGCTTCTCCACTCAGCTATCATCTCTGTTCGTCTTCGAGTTAGATCATTTTGTCTTCAGAGTGACTTAACAACTTCCACATACTAATGAATATACTTTTTGTTATATCACACTGAGTAAAAAATTGTATTTCTGACGTTTCATGACTTAATGTAAGCCACTTCTTTAGAGTAAATAAATATCTGAATTAAATTAATACAAGTTTAAATAATACAAAGAAATTTTGTGGTTTAATTCGTCTATTCATTTATTCCGAAGAAGTGGCTTAATTTAAGTCACGAAACATCAGAAATTACAATTTTTCTACTCCTTAAGATATAACAAAAAGTATATTTATTATTAATTTTGTATCCAATGCTCAATTTATTTGAAACTATCAAATCTAATCTTAACATTGATACCTACTTCTAAACTTCTATATACCTTTGAAATTAATAAAAAAGTCGACAGCTATGTCATCTAATCTTTACTTCAGTCAATATTCAATACAAGAAATGATAGTTAAACTTTGAAAATAGAATTAAGTAGAAATCATCGAATTCTTTATGTGAAAAGAAAAAAACTGCAGAAATTACTTTCTGATAACATTCCAAGTCAATACATTTTGTCGTTATTTACATTATTAATATTGATGATATACAATTCAGTCTATATGATGAAAAAATCAGTTTATTATACTTTAACATTGATCATCTAGTTACAAGCATAATTAAAATGAAATGCCTAAATTTTACATGGTTTCATTTTTAACAGAATTAAGTGATCTATTGTTCAGTAAAGGAAAATGTAACAAAAAAATTGTTATATCCTGATGAGAATAATGAATGGTAACTTTTGGGATCCATTTATGGACCAATATTATACGTATATTTTTATCGTTTAATTGTTAATTCACTAAACTATTCATATTCATGTTCCTCTTATTATAATCTTTATTTTGACCTATGAACTATTATTATGCGATTTACTATTCTTGAATTATGCCCTGTCTATTAATTGCTAAGGAGTCCCATACTAGGACGAAACGGCCGTCCAGTGCTTCCAGGTTTTCCATGGTGGTCTAGCTTCAACTGACTCATAATTTCAATCTGTGAAATTTCTAAAATCTCCACAAACCCCTTCTGATATTAATTACTATCTCCCACATTCACAGCCATATTTGGTTAAGTCTTGTACAAATGTTGTTTTCTATTTTATGGTACGATGTGGTCTGTATGGTTAGTATATAAATCCAGTAGGTTTGAAATAAATGATTCATATTGTAGGGGCTGAGACTGGTGTTCTGGACTAGGCGGGAAGCAGGACCGGTAAAGACTCTAGACTGTTAGTACGGGTTTTATGCGCCATTGGTCCAGTCGATAAATCACTGTTTACTAACTAGTGCCGTCATCACGTTATAAAGGCACAAAACCACAATTATACATTGAAAATTAGAACAAAACCGATTAGACTGAAATGTTTCGTACGATCTTAATAATTATTATAAAGACAAAATACTGTTTGGATAAGAAAATTGTAAACGGAAAGAAGTAAATTCTAAGTGTACACAAATGATCTGTTGGACATTTAAGAGAGTTGATAAAACCAGTTGATAATATATTATTGGTTCACTTGTATTCAGTAATAAATTTTTAACGAAAGTCATGATTCATTTTGATGCGTTGATGTTATTTGTGCTGAATGCTTACGAATACCCTTACTTATCTTTGTGTTATTATATAATAATGTGAAGTGTTGCTTTTTGTGAATTTTTAAGAAAAACGGTAGGGAGATCTGACTTCTGGAGTTGAGCGATATTAAGAATGAGATAGATAGCACAAATAACAACTGGATGGTAATCTTACTCTATAAAAACTAACTAAATAAGTGAATATAAACCCATTTGATATCAGCTCAGTACTTTATAATGTAAATGCGTCTGCCAAGGCACATAAAGGTGCTGCGGTTTGACCGCTGATGGGATTGTGAGTGCCTTCAGACATGGATTCACGTGTAAGAACGAAACAACTGTCTATTAGTCTCCGTTTTTCAAGCGTACTCCGGTTAAAGTCAATTGATGAGGAAGTCTTTCTTTTAAATGAGCAATGTCCACAAACTTTTATCTTTTTTAAATAAAACCTTTGTTTGATTTTCTATTGTATAGTCTTTTGATAATAATTTGTTTTCAGGGGAACGAGTACGCTTGCTTAAATAATTCGACCTCATATGGCATTATCAATTAAAAATATGGCTTCATTTCTCATGCTCTATCGATTAGTGTTCTATTTAATCGTTGTGAAACCAGTGGGATATTCCTTCTATAGAATATTTAACCAAATATCTTACTGTACAACACATAAAATGAAGCGAAAACTGCCCACCAATAGACCGAGTTCGATCACTAAAAAAAAGCAAAGTTTGAAACCGAAATGAAAGAATCAACACAATACAAAAACACAAAAAAACTATAAAATTTACACTTACTATCGTTTTCCACCAACAGATTTAGAAGGATAATAAGTCAATGGACCAATATTTTCCTCGTCTGCAGAATTCTACAAAAAAAATCAAAAACACGTAAATGAAATTTCTGTCATTACAACAGTGGTAAGAATATATCATAGCGACGATTTCCAGCAGCTGTCAGTAAACCAGAAACCAGTGTTTTGTCCTGAAGCGATTTATAATAAATAGTGATAAAACTATGATGCATAAATGGTTTTTAACACGAATAATAAATCGACAAAGGGTCGAATTAAGAGTGCAAGTAATGTCAGGAGTTAGAATTAGGGGCTAGAGTAAGGAGTGTCATGAATAAAATTAAGATTTATCATAATTATATAGAGTGGGCTAATACTTTTTATTTATTAAAACACCCTTGATTATGCCCTGAATTACATTAAGTATGCTCAGATGTAATCTTCATTCGAAAGCACGTATCTCAGGTGATTTGATATTCACAGCATGTCACATCCTCTCCATGGTTGTACAAAGATATTTTTTACAATCATTGAAAAATATTATCGTTGATATAGAGTTGTGAAGATAGCTGGATTCTATTGACATCAATAACCTATCTTGGCTAGAAAATCAGTGAGAACCTGGAGGTACTTAACAACTATTTCGTTCTAATATGGGGCTCCCCAGCAGTGAGTATCCGTGACACAACAATCGGTAGTCGGACCCAGGACCTTCGATCTCGCGCTCTAGCACTTAACTTCTAGACCATTGAACCAGCATTAGATGGTATGGATGTTTAACTTCAATCAATCCACGATATTAGGTGATCATTTTCTATTATCTTCGGCGGGTAACTTCATCAAACGCCACACGGTTGAACTTCACTAGTTACGGCTTCTCACTAGAACTTCGGTGATTCTCTCTAGAAACCAGTCATTAGTAAGTACATGATATTTATCAATATGGGTTTACTGGCATCACAAACTGATGCGGTTTCGAAGTGGTAGATGAACATTTCTGAGGAGTCCTGTACTAGGACGAAACGGCCGTTCAGTGTTTCCAGATCTTCAATGGTTATCTAAATTAGGTCGTTTCATTATCTCAATAAAAATACAATAGTTTACTCGCACCAGCAACTTGTTTCAAGGTGTATTTACACAGTTCCGCTTGAACATTGTAGTTGGTGAAAATTGAGTCATGTTGGAAATGAGACTGTTATCCTAAAAAGGATTCAATCATCGACGTGTTGTATCGTAAATTATTTATAACTGGAAGGTTCTAGCTGTACACTGTTGATGAGACGTTTAAATATTCCTGCCGTAATTTCCATCTAATTTTACTATTAAATCCCACACTAATCTACACTCCCACACAAATACACACAGAAGGACAATTCCACAGCTTACGCTCATTCGTATACTACAGTTTGTACTAAAAAAAGTTGAATAAATATTGGCGATTGGGTGGGGTTACATAATATTATGTTGTTTTAATTACGGTAACAAGATTAGAATGACTCAACCTAGTTTTTGGGAAAAATTTGAGAAGGCATTTTTCTTAAGAGGAAGAAAGTGTCATATATACCATGGATTCAGTTAGTTATGTACAATCAACACACACACACACACGTACTGAACGTTAGATGGATAGATAGACAAACATACAGTAAGAATTCTATTTAGGTTTAAAATTTTTTTTAGGAAATTGCGGAAACAAAATAAAGAGTGGAAAAATCAATAAACAATGTACATTTCAAAAAGATGATTGGTTCAAAGTAACTTAAATGAGGAAATTGTAAATATCCTAGTGATGATGACATTTAATTCATTTATTTGTGTAAATTTTTGTATAGTGAAATAGTTATTGTCATGAATGCTTAGTATTAAAATGTGTATCAGAAGCAATGATTTCTGAGTATAAACTAATTGCTAAGCTCCTAAAACTAAGTTAATTTTTTTGTGTCTTCGATACATTTCCATCGTACCAATTGAGTAATTTTAAGAAATAGGCTTATTATACCAAGTGAAGATGGAAATCGATAAGCCTTATCGATTATAGCGGCTTAGATATATGCTATCTATGCCTAACCAACGTCTACTTTGTTATGAAGTTCTGGTTAATGTGAGAGTAAGCTGAAAAAATCTAAGTGTAGCATCATTCTATAACACTACAGATCGTTCGCGAGTCGTGTTGATAGATACAAACTAAGTGGTTGGCGTCTGTGCAATTATCACGATCAGTAAATAGATACATTGAATGGTATGACTAGAAATAAGTTGCGATGGCCCAGAAGTAATCATTCTTTATTTTCTCCTAAATAATCAGTTTCAGTATTATCTCAATGGTTTTTAGTTAGTGAATTCATCTCGCCTTTTTTAACAATATTCTTCAATATAACGTTGGCAGAATCGGTTGTAAAATGATAGATTAGATTAACAGCTATATTTCTACTTCACTTCGGTCTGAACAGCTGAGTTATACTGCCAGTATAGTGTTGTGCAGATTGTTGATTTTCATTGAAATCATGAACTGATTAATGTGTTGGACTATAGGTTAAGGGTTTGTGAGAGAAAGCGATGGCACTGGGTCGTGGATTCTCACTGCTGAGGAGTTCTATAGCGGGATGAAACTGCCGCCTGCTGCTTCCAGGTTTTCAATCGGGGTCTAACACTGATCGGTTCATGACTTTAAAGAAATACATTACATGTATATCGAAAGGCAAAGTCTATTATTATACACATTTTGACTGAATATCAAATTAAAATCACAATGTGTTAAAGTCATTTATGCTGATTGATTTAGTAACAGAATAGATGGTCTGATAAGTTTGTTACGATCATGTGACAGCATAAATCCACTTACTGACCAATAATCTAAAATACTGATTTATACTTTATCCGCTTGCTATCAGTATATATTTGTATTTGTTTACTGAGTTGCTCGGCAGTAAGATTGTTTGTTACTAAGTGAATAATGGCTTATACTCCGGCGCATCCATCTTGTCTTACTTCGATGGCTTTCACAACATTATCAGCGACAATTCATCTCGTACTAAAACTATGTAGTGAATATATATATACCAAGTGCAAATTGTTAGGAGATAGAAGATAATGAAGTTATCAACTTGCTATACATAAACTTACTTGTCCAGAACAACTAACCAAGATATCATTTGATTGAGATGGTTTTTCAATAGACGGCATCCATCCAAACACCTAGAATAATTTAGAAACTATATAATTAAATCCATTCAATAAAATATAATTACATTCATGCAGATGACTAATAATTATATATGGTAAATGTATTCTATAAGACTACATGTGATTATCAACTATTTTTACATGCACTGAGAAAAAATAACGCATAGATATCAATTATCATTTGGAAATTGTACTGTTTATTACAGTAGTATCGACAGTAGTTAAAATCAAGCATAAAATGACAAGGTGTATGAATCGTTTATTATCATTAAAAGAAAACAGTGAGAAAGTATATTCAAGTGTCAATTCATACAGAGATATTGATGATGATTATTATTGGTGTTTTTTCATTAATGAATCAACTATTTTAGCCGATATGAAAAATCTATTTTATATTCTATATCAGACAACTATTTAATCAATTTTTTAATCTCTTAAGAGTTCCGAAAATAATCCAGTTTATTATATATACAAGCAACTGAGCGGATTCTGTGACGTAAGTTAGTCAATTAATGACCATTTAGAACGTGGTACATAGGTACTTCGTTTCAAGTTGCCACACTTCCTTAGGACAGAAAGATGAAATTGTCAGATCAAATCCCAGAATAATAGAATTAGTGACATTATTGATGGTAAAAGAAAAGATTAAGCATTGAAGATACAACTTAATGAAATATAAATATATACATCAGACAATCTCTAATGTAGATAAATCGATATTATTCTCAAATGTTCCCCTAATAACTTGCTCAAAAAGTATTAATAATTATAAGGAAAAAAACTGTTCGGTTGTAATTTCTATTAAATATGTGTAAATTACATAAAGTATGTAAAAAAAACAATATTTGAAGTCAGTCAATCTAATCATCAGTAATTTAGGACCTGGTATATATGTGAATCAGTTCAAGTTACTCTACCGTATTAACACAAATGGGATTATTATGAAAAATACCAGAAAACTAGAATTAGCAACATTGTCACCTCTCTATTCTTCAGACTAAATAAATGGAGTAGTTTACATTAAGTTACGAAACGTCAGAAATACGATTTTTCTACTCATATAAGTATATTTAATATTAAATTTGTATTCAGTGCTCAATCTATTTGAAACTATCAAGTTTAACCTTGATCAGAATGGGTTTTGTGGAGAATTTTAGAAATTTCACAGTTTGAAATCATGAGTCAGTTGAAGCTAGACCACCATTGGTTGAAGTTAGACATTAACACCGTTGGATGCCGACTCAGTGGTCTAGTGGTTAAGTGCTCGCGCGCGTAGCCAGTAGGTCCTGGGTTCGAGCCCCGCGTGGTGCGGGATCGTGGATGCGCACTGCTGGGGAGTCCCATACCAGGACGAAACGGCCGTCCAGTGCTTCCAGGTTTTCAATGGTGGTCTAGCTTCAACTGACTCATGATTTCACATTGTGAAATTTCTAACCTTGATATTGATACTTAAAAATAATCAGTACTAGTAGAAAAGATTATATAGAAATAATATAATTCATAAAGGAAGAATGAATTTACAATATAGTAAAGTTGAATAAGATTTTAAAATTTATAATCTCAAAGAAGTCAAAGCATGAATACATCTGAGTCGTTGTGACATTAGATGAAGAGATTATTTGAAATCAGCAGAAAAAAAGAATAATATTTTTCTTAAAACCACTTATTATAACAACAAAAATAATTTCACCGACTAAATTGAACAATGTGATCCACTTTGTCGGGTATACGCACATACACATACACACACACAAACGCATAAAAACACAACATACAAATTAAGCACATTTTTAATAATATTGTGACGTTATTCCAGTTGTCAAGAAAAAATTTTTAAATCAACCAATAATTAATGGTAGCAATTGAAATGAAATCTTTATACTAAAAAGAATTCTAAGTTGGTGATTTGTCTTTTCCTGCCAAATTTACATAATTACACGTACATGTATAGATAAACTGTGTTGATTTCATTCAATGAAAAAATAATCATTACTAATAATAGTAACCATAACAATCTATACATTTTAATAAAAAAACCCGGAGAATTAACATATTTTCAACGATTTTATTTCTCAGAAAAAAGGTAGGGTAACGAAGTGAAATCATCTAATTTCATAAATTTAATCGCCTGTTTTTTTTTCCTTCTTAATTCTGGAATATAAGATCATTAAATTTAAAAGAAATGGTAACATTTGAACTTGAATTTGAAAAAAAATGTATAGGATTGGTTACTGTGATTATGAATCATGGTCTTAACTATTGAAATTCCTACAATCTCCACAAAACCCCTTCTGATATTTTTTTTATAATATTTAAAAGATTTTTCATTTGAAGTAATCCATGATTCATTACTGAATTATAAAATATTAGTTGAGATCATGAGTCAATTGAAGCTAGACCACCATGGAAAAGCTGCTAAGGAGTCCCACAATAAGACGAAATGCGTCATTTTCCAGTTTTCCATTGGTCTAGCTTCAATTGACTATGATCTCAACCCACAAAACCTTCTGATATTTTTTATAATATTTAAAAGATTTTTCATTTGAAGTAATCCATGATTCATTACTGAATTATAAAATATTAGTTAAGTAGATCTAGACAAATGTAATTGATTTCAATTCAAATGATCGTTGCCATAGTTGTTTTTTGGAGGGTTAAATTAAATCTGTTTGAATCATCAATTTTTGTCTTCTTTATTGTTTTATGTGAATTTCAGTGTTTCTTATAGTGAATATCAGTTTTGTCTTTGTAGTACCTAAAGGATGAGTATACTGCTCGGCAGTTCGTTATGTTCTACAATGTAGCTGTAAACCGTGGCCTCCAAAAATTTAAGATACCCATAGATTACTAGTATTTGTCCATAGATTACTTCGGACGATTGCTTTCATTGGTGAGTGAGCAATCTTGTGGTTACGTACGAAACACTAGGTAAAGGTAGCAAATTGATTGATAAGATTGTTGACTTTATCGACTGAGGTGGTTGATGCATATATCACGTTAACCCAGCTACCGCCCATCTCAGACTAGGGTGTTTTCAGAGAGAAAAGTAGGCTGCATGAATGCTAGGAACAGTTTAACCAGGACGTAGGACCTGTCTGTGAAGTTAATAACTGTTGAACTGAGTCAATTCGACAGGTGCAGACTACCTGGTAGAAGTCTGCCGGATTATCAAGACCAATGGTTGAAAACATTAAGTGGGTTGAATCAAAAATCGTCACAATGGCGCAGTTGCAATCACTATTCATTTTTCCTCAGATTTTAAATTTTAGAATTATCATACACATTCATTTTGTCTCGTTGAATCATATTGCTTGTTTCTGATATCTTTTACTAATATTGATAATATCACTACTTCTACTACTCTGTAATTTTTTTTACGATAATATAGACTCGTTATGTTGATGTAAGGTGACAGCTTTGACTGATTCCCATACTTGCCAGGTCCTACATATTTTACAACTAACTGGATTCAGTAAATATAAATAATTTTCAATGTTCTCAAAAATTACATAACATATAGTCTTTTTTTAAATCGATTTATAGTAAACTCTTTGTCAGCTAGATATTTAAAAGGAGTTGTTCGATATTTATTTTATTGGTAAAGAAAACAAGGGAGAGAGAGAAAAAAAATCATTACGGATTAAATGGCGAAAGGCAAGTCCATGTGAAGATTTTAGTTTTAGTCTTGAGGGGAAAATTTTTATTTCACTTGGCCAATGATTAGTTGTTTTTTTTTGATCACTTTGATTAACTAACTTACAAAATAATACTGTTGTTCAATTAATCATTTATGTCAGAGAATTCCTTGAGAAACCTGTTTTTTGCGTAAAATCTAAACATTTTACGTTCCATATAAGTTTAATTATAATTTTCCGACTAAAAATAATTTTAATATATAATTTTACTATTTTCTACGTATTAAATTGTATATCAATGGTTTTTCTTATTTTGAGTAAACTTTAGGTGTAATTTATAATCTATACAGTTAATACACAAACTTGATTACTCAATTGTTGCGGTAAAACTTTGAAAAATATCTCAGTAAAATCCTGAAATATTGAAGGTTATTTATGGAAATAACCTACTGAATAAAATATGTCATTTTGTGTAGATCAAGCATTTCGGTGAGTATCGCGAGGATTGTAAAGATATTTTAAGACCAAGGCAACTGTTGATCATCTGTGTTAATAAAAATGTTGAACCTATGGGATCTATTGTGTTCCCTGATATTCAACATCTTTTCCAGGTTATTACTAAGGAATCGAATTCAGGAAAATCATCTGAGCAGATGATCCTATCATTGAGAGGATGTGAAAGTTATAATAAGTGAGATGAAAAGACAGCTGGAGAGCCTATCTATTGAGGACCTTTACGTATGTTGTGTACATCAATCCTCAACCGTAAATTAGTGTGAAAATTTTGATAAAGAACGACATTCATAAAGAAAATGTATAGGCTTTGAAAAAATGTCAAAATGAGAAGCAAACTATCACTAGCGCTTTTTAAATTAATTTAGATATGAATACAAATCAGTTCCATAAAAATAATCATTTAAAATTAATCGCAGTCTGTCGTACAGTTCCAGTACTCTAAACAAAGTCTTAATCAGGTGGGGTAAAAGCAGGTCACAAAGTAAAAATATTTTAGATAAACTACTTTATTTTACATAATATAGGAACGAATTGACTGATGACGTAGTAAATCTTTATCAACTGGGGTGGTTGTGACATGTGTTACATATGCCTAACCACCGCCTTCTTCGACAGGTGACATTTTCTGGTGTAGTATTAGGATGAAAAAAAGATAGGAGTAGTCTAGTCAAAACACGACATCGGTTTATGAATGGATAAGTAGAACACAGATATATGAACGGAGAATATTCTTTTCAATAAGGTCTCTTCATTACCTTACACCAGTTAACTCTCATGGAGAAGCATAGGTCACACACAAGCATTCTCCATGGTATTTTTTCCTAGACAGTCCTCCCCAGTTCTTTCCAACTTCTATTCATCCTTTTCATGTCTGCTTCCAATTCCCGACCCAGTGTATTCTTTGGCCTTCCTCTTTTCCGTTTCCATTCAGGAGTTGAAGTTAGGAACTGCCTCGTGATGCCGTTTGATTTCTTCCTCAAGATATGTTCTATCAACCACCAGCGTCTTTTCCTAGTTTTCTCTTCAACTGGAAGCTGGTTTGTTCTCTTCCATAGTAGGCTGCTGTTGATGGTATCTGATCAACGGATATTGGGTATTTTCCGTAGATAATTGTCTATAAATATTTGTACTGTTTTGATGATGATTGTAGTAGTTCTCCATTTTTAAGTTCTGTATAGTAGAACTTTCATAATTATCGCATAGAAGATTCTGGTTTCGATGTTGGCCGACAGTTGTTCTGAGTTTAATATGTTCTTCAACTGTAGGAACGCTGTACTTGCTTTGCAATTTATCGTCTTTACGTCTGCATTAGATCCTTTCTGTTCATTGTTAATACTGCCTAGATACATGGATGTATCCACTTGTCCCAGAGCTTCCCCATCAAGTGTGACTGGGTTGTTGTTCTCTGTGTTGTACTTGAGTATGTTGCTTTTTTCCTTGAATAGTTTGAGGCCTATTAATGTGGAGGCTGCTGCTACATTTTTTATTTTGAACTGCATTTTTTAATGTGTATGGTATAGAAGGGTCAAGTCATCTGCGAACTACAAATTGTCTAGTTGCATCCAATCTGTCCATTTTATTCCGTGCTTCTCATCAGATATTGAGGTCTTCATAATCCAGTCAACCACTAGAAGCTAGAGAGACGGTGAAAGTAAGCAGCCTTGCTTGACTAAGGTCCTTAATTAGAACGCGTCTGTCAGCTGTCCTTTATGCACGACTTTGCTCTGTAGTCGGTCGTATGAATTCCGTATGATGTTGACGATTTTCTCAGGTAGTGTCGAAGAGGTTTCGATAATGTTATATAATATTATATATATTATAAATTAAACTAGAAATTTATATTAGATTGGAGCTAAAAGGTTACCACACAGTTATTATCACACAAAAAATAAAAATAAGATCAAATTACTAGAATAAATTTCAAGACAGTTAAACAACAACGCGACTAATGTTATGATCCCTGAAACAAATCCGCGTAATAAGGGCTTCATGAGTCTGGAAGAATTTAAAAACTTCCATGGTCGTAAAAACTTATCAAGTGTAACAGATGGATAATTCGATAAGCAACAGAACTTAATATAGTTCATTTACACTAAACAAGAGAAAATGCAAACAGCAATGCCGGCCAAAAATTAACAACAGCAATGAACAATAATAAGTTCATTGAAAAAATATTTTTTCAGTTGTTCATCAAACAAAATAACGGAGCACCAAAACATTTATTCTTTAATTAAGTAAATAATTACAACTTATCAACTAGATCAAAACCGTTCGTACTTAAACTTATCTATCAAATTAACATTCCTCTAAACGGCCGAAACTTCTGAATCTATTTAGCTCGGACGAGCTTTTGACAAAGTTAGTCACAATTTGTGAACGCTTCACTTTAATTCGTCGATAGAAACATTTTATCCGTGACGTAAGTATTTTCATCACTTTAAGGTAAACCGATAAAGGAATCTGACATAACAAAGTATTCTGATGTTAGTTAGCAGAAACACTGTTTAGTTAATAAACACTCAAATTGCACTTGTTACTTAATGACAAAAAACAAAGTATTAGGTGTACTATTGAAGTCTCAACTTTATTGTCACCGAAACCAGAATCAAAATAGATTTTATAAGACAAGAGATTAAGTTAGTTTCCATCAGCTCTCATATTTGTTAACTGTGCAGGAATACTGTTGAAGACTGACGTGGAATATGATGTTTACGGTAAATTGGCCCCAAGTTCTAACTATTTAAAAAAGAGTTTAATGAATTGGAAACCATACTGAAGTTGGCCAATTAGGTAACACTAAAATCCAGTGATGACTGGATATTGAATGAGAAGATAAGCATGAACCTATAAAAAACAAATAGTGAATGTCATGAAATTGATTTCTTTACAATTCACCCAGGCTTCCCTGAAAGGATTATTTCTTTTATGTAGGACACAGTAAAAGGATGAAATATACATGCTTTTGTAAGTGAAAAGTTTTTAAGAATAATTTGATTGTGTTTTCTATTGTTTTAGCCACAATAAGACATAGTGACAAATTGTAGGTTGGTGAACATGTGATGCCCAATAGTTCGGTTTGTTATCACATCACGATATTTAGTCTACCAAATTATACATGACAATTAAAAAACTAAGCAATTATGCAAACAATAACTGCAATATTACTGCCTTACACTTAATCATAATTAAAAATTTTCCTATATACAGAAAAATGAAACAAGTTGAACATCATTAAATACTTGACATAAAACCACTCGACGTTAAATAATACTGTAAGACTATCTAGAAGTGAAGTTAATTTAAGAATATGTATATCAACTAGATTTCTATCTCATAAAACATTCTGTGGACAGACATTCAAATAAAGTTTTACTATAGTGTTGCACTCGTAGAATCAAGAATCCAGGAAACTGAGCTACTATAGGCAAACAATTTATTTAAACTAATAATTTAAACTAAATTAGGAAAATACGTAGTAATAGCACCAAATCAGCAGGTGGTCATTATTACTTACCTTATTTACTTTAAGAAGAACGCAAGGTGTTCCACTATCGTAACCGTAATTATTTGAAGTGTTACAAGGTCCCAAACTCTCAAGAGGGAATTTGCAAACCTTATCCACATCTTTTGTTTCTCCTTCCTTGCCTTTACAACTGGCAAATTGACTATCGGGCTTCGCGTTAACCTGATTATACGTATCTAAATACGCGTCTATGTTCTGAGTGTATGGTAGATAGGTTTGGGGATCGCCAGAAGAATAACGAATGAGAGATTTTTGAACATTTAATAGTGGACGGAACCCAAGGCCTTTTGAGAAAAGATCAAAATTACATACTAACAAATACCTGGCTTGAAATCTAGTAAACTCTGAGCTCCGGTTCTAGCCGGCTGGTTCTCTGGGGCGTTGCAATACAATACCAACCATAATAAACAGGTGAAGAATGTTGCCAGGCAAGCATAATATATCAAGTAGAACAAAATACAGAGAGCTAAGGACGCTAGATACTGATATGTCAAACTCACTCCAGCTGCAGCATGTGCGGCCGAAAAGAGTTTTGTTCTTAGGATCATATACCCACGTTGGAATGCGACGTCGAGACATGTACGACAAAGTGGATAAATTATCCGAGAATTCCTGCATTGACATTTCCAAAACTTTTTATTTGATGCGCTACTGAGAAGACCTTGAAATGGCGTTCATTGAAGATGCTAGGAGAAACAATAAACATAACTTCGAATAAATCCGTGAACTTCACAGAGATTATTAAGTTTGTGTGAAAAATTGTGGTTGATCAACATGATACAGGCAGCTAAAGATTTTTTAGCCGGGTAAAAGAGTTGTTATTCTTTTATTTTCTCTAAGTAATATAAGCAAACCACTGAGTGACTTATATTGTTGTGTTTTATCTGAAACACTGCACCTGTTTGGTAATAGTTCGTCCCCACCTTCAAATAATGGTAGAGACAAACCCGGATCGTCATCTGGCCTTCAGTCAAACAGGTTCATCAACTGGAGTTACATCTTCCCTATGGAGTTAAATTTTGAGTGCATAGAACTAGAGACTGGTGAAAGTTATCATCATTCATCACAACAGCATGGAGAAACATAATAGAAAAGATAGATGTTACTTGTAATTTACTATTATTAACTAATCTTCCAAATCGATTGGCGACCAGTATCTGTTGTTCCACTCTACGAGCAATTCGACTGAATTCTTTTACCTTGCAAGAATATTTCACTCGAATTTTAACCATCAGTTGATTCATTCTTTGTGCAGGTTCGGTAATATATTTATTGATGAGTTTGTAGTGGCACTTGTTTCTAACCACACGATCATTGGGGTTGAACATATAACAGCTAAGAAGGCTCACGTTGGACGTTGAACACTTGTGTGAAGACAGTAAGGGTCTACGTTGGACAATAATCAGAGATGGAGTTACCCAGCCGTGCAGGCGTGATCACTGTGTGTAACGTCTTGCTTTTTTATTTAATATACCACCCAATCTCCGGCACAATTGTGTTCCCTAAAGGTTGATGAAAACACTACCGGGGGTGATCTTATCCGCAACGCAACCATGTAAACTTAATGTATCGCACACTGTCATCTGTGCGTTCAAGTAACCATAGATTTTGTCATTTCATAATGTATTTTTAATTAAATAACTAGATTATGTAGTTAATTTTGCTCTGTTTTTAATTTTTATTCGCCACGTCCGACTGCGTTACACTGTACGTCCATTGCACTGTGAGATGATATCTCAAGTCATAGTGAATTTATTCACATAATTGATTGTTTCCAGATAGACTGTCAGTGCATGATTCTACTGAAGAAAGGTTTGTTGTACTGTAAACTGTGTTTTTATGATCAACTCCCTGTTGTCTTCAGTATGAATTCATACTGAATTCTGCTTTAAAGCAGTATATATGTATCCTTCTTTTTTTCTTAGGTAAGTTCAACTGGCCTATATTTCGTGTTTTGGTTTTATCGGCTTAATTATGTCCATTTACCTACTTTGAGCAACATGTCTTTGCAAGCGAAACAATAACTATGACACTTGCTTAGTTTAGTGTTATTGGTTGTCGTATAATTCAGTTTAGTTGAATGAATTATGATATACTTAAGTATAGTGCTTGAAGCCTGTAACGAAACAGATCAGTTTAGTAAGTAGAGTTACCTGTTTCTAATGTGTATACGGATTCAGATCAGTCTGATTAAAAATAGGAAAAAACGTCCCTTTGCAGCTGTTGCTGTCATACATTATAAGATAGCGTTAAGTATGTTTGGTGTTTATTTCTAAACTGTACATCTATCACTGACCATATTTCATGATCACTCTCATTAAACAATTTCCCCAGCAATAACATCGGTAGCAAGATAGCTAAGTGTCTGAGCTTTTAGTTGCCCGCAAAACAGCAGTATACAGTCTTAGAAGATGAGTGTTCTGTGTCTCAATTCAATGCAGCTGGTTGTGGACAAATGTTAAGAATCTTTTTGACAACTGGGACTTTTAGTTTATCATACACTTACTCTGCTTGTATGTTTTCCTGTTAAACTAGACTCAGATGCATGGGAATACTTAAATGAGAGCAAAATAATAAAAACATTGCAATACGGTACTAAGCCCATGTTATGCTTTGCGCAAGTAATAGTAGCTGACCTTATCTAATATTCATGAACTCAAGGTAAATCACAACTGCATAAATTCTTTGCTAAAAAACATGTGATTTGGTTATTTATCTATTCCACATTTCTGACTAAATTCATCACTATTTTTTTTTCATTTAGAATGCAACAGAAGTGAGCCTTCACAGACCCTAGAAACTGTTTCGCCCTTGGAACTATGGCCCTATGGAACTGTTTACGGGAGACCAAACGAACAGCATATTATAAAAAGGATGCTGGACGTCCATTTTAGTCTTACAACCACTTCCAGTAATTTTTGACTTTTTTTACTCTTTCGTTTGGGAAAAAACAACAAAAACTGCATATTAACATTACCAATACAACTTTTAAACGGGAACTTGGTTTAAACCTTTGTTTGATATTCGATTCTTAATGAAAGTTCTCGAATAAATTTTTGAATCTAATGCTACTTTGTTTTATCCACTTAATCGTCGCAAGAATCTTGTGATAAGCGAGCCTCTCAGCACCTAGTTCATGTGTTCAAATGGTTGTGGACTGAAAAGAAGAAGCTTTCGCTTAACAGGCTTCCGTGTCTAGTAGCAGGGGATCACCAACACCTCAAGGCAGGAAACTATGTATGTTAACAATAAAAGAGGAAAAAGAAATTGGTAAATCATAGTATGATACTATACTTAGTCCTTAAGAACAAATCCAGTTGCCTCTTAAAGGACTCCTGGGAAGTCGCTTGGACTAGCTCGGCCGGCAGAAAATTCCAGCATTTGACAACTCTTAAGGGGTAGAAGTTGTGCCTACAGTCCGTTCTGCTATGTTGTGTCTCTAGTTTCTGGGTGTTACCCCTTAGTTTAGTGTTGGAACTAAGCTTAATTAGGTGATGTCCAGAAGTGTTAAGGTTATCGTAAGCCATTAGGTCACCTCTAAGACGTCTATAATGAGTGGAGGCGCTCTTCATAAGGTGATTTGGTGCATATCCTCGTCATTTCCTTGGGAGACCTACAGACTCGGGTCCTCTCATAGCTTATTCTAACCACCATGGGTTGTCACACCAGCCGATGGATGGACACGCGTTACACATCCTAACCGTACCTGCGTCTTATCTTATAGCTTCTAATTCAAATGCCATATGACAAGCAAGCAATGCCCCTACCCGCACTTATGGAACACTAGTAACTCAAATGCACCCCGTATGGTACCTTACACTGGTTTACGCACTCGCTTAGCTCTTTAGTGAAAATCCCATGAACCCCCCACCTCCATCAAAACAAATAAGTCTGTATTTGCAGCATATAGCAATTTTATTATTCAAAAGTAAGATACAACAGTTAGAATTGGAGTAAAATGGCAGTATACAGCAGATGCACGTGGTACATGTCTTCATCGATTAACTGAAGTAGAGAATATGGATATTAGATTAACAGCCTTATTTAGAAAGACTAGTGTCTAATTTGAACTTACTGCGTGAGAAAGTTATAATGGAACTACGAATGTTGTAGAAATAGTGTTTCTCGGGGCGTACGAAGCACTCAGACTATAAGACAGTTGTCCAAAAATAATTCGAACATGGAGGTGAAAATTTGCAGGTACTTTTCATCGTGAGGGTGAACATATTAGGTACCAGTTGACATCATACCGTAAAAAAAACACAAATTTGCGAGTGGTGAAATATGATCTATGGAAAAGTGAGCTTAATAACAGTTAATTACCTTTTTACTCCCTGATCATGAACCTTTGGCTTCCTTTTATAGCCAAAACAGCAAACATACACTAGACACTGGTAGCAGATTTCCGGCTTTTCAATGTTAAGCTTGCTTTAACGCACTGAGTAATGAGTACAACCCCTCTATTACTGCTGTATGGCATATTTTTCATAACAAATCCTCTGCAATAGTTGTCGGAAGTCTGGGTCCTTTCGAAATCAGTACCGATATACCCTACTGCTGGGCACTCTGTATTAGTTTGACTCGTTGGTGCGATAGTGTTGTCCATACTACTGAAGAAAATTTAAAAAACGCAGACTGTTTCCTTTCATTTTGCCGATAACATTATAAAGGACAGTTAGGAACGAACATGCTAACAGTTCGAGTCACAGGAGGCAGCAACAATTATTTTAGCTAAATGAAAACGAACTTCGGATATCTAGAAAACAAGGTAAAACACAACCGATTGTCGATTGAAAACGTAAGGTCTTATGTTAGTACTAGCCAGCTTAGCTGAATAAATACGGTGACTTCATTAGCAGCAGGTAAAACCCAGAAAACAAAGCAAAATCAGGAAAAACTTTTCTCCAACGTTCAGAGTATTACACTAACTTTTGAATTTTAGCACACTGAAACATCAAATTCCGTAGCTACACAAAAGAAATAGCTGAAAGAAGCACAGAACGAAGAAAGCCGACCGCCATTACTTACAAAGATGGCGGACGTAATAATTCCCGCCTCATTCTGATTGGTTGCTAAGCTGAAGGGTACATTTACGAAATTGAGTTGCGTTTAATTGCAGCCCACTACCGGCCGTCGTGATAGTTTAATTCAGTTTATACAATGATGTTACTTGTACGTATGATCTTATAGTAGTATCATAACAAATCCATAAAATTAGATAAGTTCTCTTATCTTGGTGGGATAAATGGGTGCACATATATTGAGCTACACTGAAACCACAAAATGTTCACTAACAGGTCTTTCAATATGTTTCACAAATATCTGTGTTCTTCAGCGTTTACAGTATATGATCTATTAAAAAGTCAATTATCTGATGGAGATAACGAAGACTTGGCATCCGTACAATAGCATAAGCCCCCTTCAAATAGTATGGTCAAAAATAATAAAAGATACGATTCACAAAGAAGTCACCTTTAGTAACGTAAACAATGTCAATCACAAAATCGCTAACAATTAATGTGTTAAGAGATATTTTTAGACTATTTGCTTTCATTATGATGTACTTAATTCATTGAGCCAGAATATACTGTAATTTTTATAATATACGTTCCGATCAGTTTGTAAAGGCTTAAGTTGAGTGGTTGAATATTATTCGGGAATCCCCTGCTAATGTCAAAAATTATAGCTCAAGTATTTGTTTACTTCCTTATTTTACGTAGGCATTATGTTTCCAATTAACCTAAATCGAATTTTAAAAGTTTTGTATGTTTAAATGAACGTCGCACGCCATAA